TTTAATGAATCACACTGTGTAATTTATAGTTAAAGTTTTATTATATTCAATTGGAAATCAGACTTATAATGTACATGTCCAGTTAAGTGTGTCTGTTACATGTACGTAATATTTCCTGACTGGCCGAGTTTTGAAATGACGGATATTTGCAAAGTGGTTCATGGAGGTATATTGTTATTTAGTGGTTGATGGTGTCAAAAAAAATTTCAGAATTTCAACATCCCCTCCCCATTCAGTTTCTTTCTCATATGAAATTCTAATGTAAGTTATGTCGAAGCTTAATAAATAAAACAAATATGTCATCAATCCAAACGAAGTTTTAATGTATTTCAGTCTGGCCCCATGCCAGAGACATGGATATGCTTAGCATTGTAAAGTTTAACATCTGTCAGAGTTAAGTCCCGGTAATACAAAATGCCCCCATCCCCCATGTCTGCCGCCTAAATAAAAACCTTGCAAGCATAATGTTCACGTTTTGTGCAGTGTATTAATTAGTAGTATTTTATGACATGCACAAATAAACATGAATTAAACTACATGTAATTCTAAAGCATTATTTTACAAATAAATTAAGAATAAAAAATATGTTTACATAATTCGAAGGCAAGTGAAGCAATATTATTCCATATCGATAACTGAGCTTATATATCATTTATAAAATATGACTGTAATAATATGACTGTAACGACTTATACTAAGTAGATATTATGAATAACAAGGATCATAGGGCCTATTGATTATAGTGAAAAAAAAAATGCAGATGATACTTAAACCTTTGACATCATATAAACGCATTAAATGAGTACCAAAAAATTAAAATTTTTGAGTTCCTGAAAATTTATAGGCAGAGTTTAGAAAACAGGGATTTTATTTCATTTTTTAACAAGCATTCTGAGCGTATTGCATTAGCTATACTAGTCCCCTACCGGCAAGTGTAATTTGGTTCCCGTTAAAGATTGAAAATGCCATTATTCCGTCAAAAATCAATGAAGCGGAACGAAATGCAACCTTGATCTATATCTCATAAAGGTAAAGTCACATACCAAAATTAGCTCAATATCTGCAAGCGTATAAAAAAAAGTGCAGAAAACCCTGAGAAATTAAAAAGGTCGTAATTCTTTGAAGCGGAAGGAAATTAAAAGGTCGTAAATCTTTGAAGCGGAACGAAATGCAAACTTGATCTGTAACTGATCAAGATTCACTCACATACCAAAAATCAGCTCAATATCTGCAAGCGTTCAGAAAAAAAAATGCGGAAAACCAAGTGGGACAGACAGATAGACAGACGGACGGACGGACAGACGTACAGATAGACAGACGGACGGACAGACTCAGAGGAAACCTATAGTCTCCTCCGGTTTCACCGGTAGGGGACTAATATTTAAATTGTTTTGAAAATCCAGCTTCTCACTAAAGTTTCACATTTCTTTATATATATATATTACATGTTATAAATTGGATTCAATGTACCCCTTTTTTTCTCTCTCTCTCTAAATCTCTCATATCAATTTTAATTTAAAACATGAACTTGTTCAATCTGTTTTCATAGTAATATTTTATTTCGTATGGTAGTTTTGTTACATTTAAATGCTAAAAAAAATATCGAAAGTGGATGTGAGAAACAAAAATATTCAGTCAAAACAAAATTTAGAAAAAAAAACCACAACCGTCCAAACTAACTTACAACAAATAAAGAAAACATTTTATTTGATAAATGATTATAAACTTTTATTTATTTATTTATTTATTTAAATTCCAGCTATTTTCTTTTCCGTCTTTTTCTTTTTGTCAAATTAAATAGATTATTAAAGATAAATAAAAAAATAAAAAATAAGAAGATTAGTATAATATTGTTTCTTTTTTTTCTAGAGGCTTGCTCCCAACAGTACAAATTAAAATATTTATTTCAAAAAATCTAATAACAACTAAAACGTGTTTTGAGCTGTTGTTAAATTTTTTTTTTTTAAATAATCCTGGAGCAAACCCATGCGAGCTGAAATGTTTAAAAAAAAATGTACACTTGCAACGAAATTCCCTCTCTGGTACCTCTCTAGTACCTCGGATTATCTCTCTGAATTGTTTTTATCTATAGAAAATTATATCTCGTCTACTATCGTCATTCTTGTGTACTATTCTAGATTTATGAAATATTCACTCAGAAGAACCATGCTTTTCATTTCTGTAAGAAGTTAGCCGAGCTTCAATTTTTGACCAAATACATCGCATAAAAACAATTTACAACAAATGTTTATGCAACATGCACCGATGATTCAATACATATTATGAATGGTGGATCAATATCCTTTGCGATATTATAATAAGATCCGTGTTTAGCACCGTGCACGTATCCTCAAACTTTTCAGTGCTCACATATAAAATCACATTCATTCGTCCATATATTCAACACGTCAGTCAATCACCATATCTGAAGCTTCAGATAGAAATGAATGACAGATCAGAGACTATACTGTATCTAGTACATATTGCTCGATCATTACTAGGAGGCGCGTAGCCAGAATTGAAATGATGTGTACGCAGAGAACGGCTGAGGGTTGGGTAGGGGGTCTTAAGCCCCCACACTTAAAAATTTTGACAAGCAAGGATGAAAAAGGAAGATTGTCAAAATTCGAGGTCTTATTTTTTGTGTGTGTGTTTGTTGAGGGGGGCGGGGCTGTGTCCAACTTTTACAAACCAAATTTTTCTAATTACATTACCAAATTACCATGATTTAACAATGGTACAGCAAACAGTGGGGGTCCACCCTTTCAATGTACATTTTCAATAGTAAAAGTTAAGGCTTTGGGAATAAGTTAATTATGGGAGGCTCCCCTGGTACTACGTGCCTGCTGGTGAGGGCCCAGAAGCTCCGGAGTTTTATCAAATATTTCATTTATTTTTTTTGAGATATAAAAATTATGCCATTTAGTTTTTTGTTAAGGAAATAAAAGACATAGTAATATTTTTTGTTTTAACGAAATTAATATTCCATGGAAACTTATTGTACATTTAATTGAGGCTAAAAATTTAACCGATATATTTATTGGTATCATTTAATCTTTCTTAACGTTTAAAAAAAATTTCGGCAAAAATTATTTTGTTATTAAAAGATTATGCGGTATTCGTGGGGTTCGAACCCTAGCAATAAAAATCCTGAGTATCATTTTTCTTTGACAAAGACTAACGCGCTAACCATTACGCTACACAGCTCCTGATGAATCGTGGCATTTAAATCATGCTTGTGATATGACCCTTGACTAAATGAACCAAGTATTTTTCTGAAATATGCGAATATTGTGTCATAAAAATGTATTTTTAACGTATAGTGGGTCTTTGCTCCATGTTTTTGTTAACCAATAAATGTATATTTTTACGCAAACTTTGAGGTTAAACTTTCAAAAAAATGGAGCAAAGACCCACTCATATATCGAAAAATTGTGTTATAGTACGAGAAAATGATCCTTTTTGCCCGCTTTAGTGTGTGTATGCTATTTTATTGGGAAATAATTTCTATCTTTGTGAGATTTTTGCAAATTGTGGAGATTTTACATAAAGATAATACTTTATTATACTCTAAAGTACTTTAATGTTAGATGAAATATCAAAGAAAATTTAGTTATAATTGAGATTAATTTTTCATCTTCATGTTTGTCGCACTATAGGCACTTCGCTCGCTTTTTTCGCCCATCTTCTTTAAATCGACACAGTATGACACGGAATAATTTGAAACACGAATATTTGGTGGATGGTACGGAGATTTTTTTTCTCCGAATAATTCTCTCTCTTTTTTTTTTCTGAAAATGATGTGTACGCATTTGCGTATCAGCTACGCGCCTGACTAGTAAGAAACCGATCTCGAATAAAATGCTGTCATATCTTTATTAAAACCAGTGGACAAAGAGAATCAGACACCAATTAAATATACGAATGAAAATTAATTTTTATTATCAATATTCACATTTACGGCAAAAGTTAGTGTCAAAACGTAAACACGTGGTAAAAAAAATCTGCGTTGACGTTCACCGTCACTCTGCAACGTCACATTTTTATGACGTTATTTCTCTGTTTTAGTAAAAATGCCATAAGCACGCTTTTCTCATGGGCGCAATCATATATATATATATATATATATATATATATATATATATATATATATATATATATATATATATATATATATATATATATATATATATATATATATACAAAGCACTAAAAATGACGAACGACACGAACAATAATAATTGTTGACAATTTTTATTGGTCGTGTCGTTGGTCATTTCTAGTGCTTTGTATAAATTTCCATCCGTGACCTTGTATCTACACTTAGGATATACAGTGTTGTTGGTTTTTAGTGCTTTATATATATATATATATATATATATATATATATATATATATATATATATATATATATATATATATATATATATATATATATATATATATATATATATATCGAAAATCAATTTGTACGTTGCAATTGTCTGCTTTTTTTTTTTTTTACATTAATTGATGTATATGCTTTCAGTTCTCATCTTTTATTTTATTATTTTATTTAGTTTTATTATGCTGATTGTTGTTCGATTGTTCATATTCATTATATGGTATCATTTACACAACGACTGAGAACATATAACGCCACTGATTTCGTTGTTGCGTCTTCAATTAAAGTGAAATTGTCTGTTTTTTGCATATTTTGTGTTAAGAGTTAAGAAATTAATTATACTAAAAGAAATGATTATCCGAAGAGAAATATTAAGTTTAGTGCCTATGCTGATCTATAATGAATTACACTACTAACATGGTAGAGAGATATTTCCGAAATATTTATCATCTAACCCTCGAAAGACCGACCACACAAACATGCATGACACCGTTCAACTAATTAGATGAAACCTATAAATTCGTATGAAACCTATTTATCCTTGGGTACACAATCTATGATAATGGCGTTGTGCATGCCTATACACTTTTTTTTTTAATAAATTAAATACCTAAAGATGTCGTATAACGCAAAATACGAGGAGATGCGCTTCAGAGACAGTGAAAGGAATTAGGTCAAGACCACGATTTGCATGCAGCTGTTGAATGGAAATTGGAAACTTTCTCGATTTGTGTCGAAAGAAATTTGATCAATTCAAAGGAAACATCCATAAACATTTTTCAAAATTTTTCTTCAAATGATGCATCTGTTTAAAGACTTCTTACATGTATCTACAGGATAGATTTTGAGGACAGCTTTAATACGGTGTAATTTTTCTTTACGTGTATTTCACCATCCCATCAAGAATCTATGATAACTGTTACAATAAATTTCAATAATTTCTTATTTAAAAGTACTTTCCATTTAGGAATTATTGTATAGTCAAATTGAATTATATGTTTTAGAATTGATATGTCTAAGATTTGTCGTTTAACAATGAATATGACTACATTTGACATAACAAATATTCGTAGCTTACAAATTTATACTTAAATGAATTCATGAGTATCAGTCCTTATGGGAAGCAAATCATTTATTTAATTATTTACTTCTTTATGCAATCATAGTTATTTATTTTATGTATCTTGCTTTAATCAAACATATTTATTTTTACAGTAACGGAAGATATGGGAAACCAGAACCTATGCACTTTTTGTCTTGTTTTCTGTTTGATTTCTCTAACAGCACACATTCAAGGTGAAAAGAAATTTTTTATGCCCAACAAATGAATTCATCTCCTATTATTTTCAACTAATTTAATTTTGAGCATATCAATACATTAAATGTTTCAGATCTAGAATTTCATTTCTTTATCCTTCACACAGAAGGATCGATAAGGGAAATATTTATATAGTTTGCGTATTGATATTCAAAATGCCTTGAGATTCAGATTATCCCTTTAAAAAATACGCAGGTTTCTCTATGGGCCGTTTAACGTGGCTGCCTCGTGCCACAGTAAAAAATTCAGAGCCATACACAGTAAACTATTAAGGCCACAGTAAGTTCATCGTCGATCAGGAAGTTGAAAATCTCAAAAAAAAACCCACAGGCACTTCGCAGTACAGTTAAGGTGCCAAATGGAAATATCGGCGAATTTTTTAGATAGAAAATACATTCTTTACAAGGATGGGCGTTTCTTTTTAGGACTTTACTATTATCGGACAATTGCAATGTGGTTGAAAACTACATGTTGAGGACGATTAGATTTCTTATTTAGACTTGTCACGTGATGTGGCAGTCACGTGATTTTAGCAAATATACCTGAAGTATTGAGGTCATCTATAAATTCTAATATTGCAAGGGCATAACCAAGTTAAAAATCTAAGTTTAACATATAATTATTTTCAACACTCTTTGTTGTTTGTGAAAAGTGCTGCGAACCTATATAGATTCGACTATCTAATTGCTAAAATTACATTTGTTAGACCGTATATTGAATATCTTGCTGGTCAAGTACATTAAATATAGATATAATTAATTCATTTGCAAGATTTCAACAGGTTCGCAGCACTTTTCAAATATCTTCATACTTCCTGAGTTTATGTTTAAAAGCTTGTCATAATTCATTGAGGGTATTCCCCTGCAATATATCGATTTATTACAACCCTTCTATTACCCTTCAATGAATCTGCATACAAATATACGACAGTATCGCTTGTCTAGGGAATATACGGGAAGTATATGAATAAATTCATAAAATAGACATCGCATCCAAGTTAATGGCCTATTATATATCTACAATTTATATTTTATTTAATTACAAAATACATTTTTCATTGTATAAATATAACTTGATCCGCCTCTCACTGCATACAAACTGCGTCAAATTTTATGATATGACGTCACATTGACAAGTGCATTGCGATCAGAGAATTGTTGATATATTGCTGTGTGGGATTTAACCAACGACAAAAATGCATGCATTAGTTAGTATTGATGTAGTTTAAAGCTATTCAACAGTTTAAGATAGCAAATCATTTCATTTTGTGGTAATTTGAAGAACTTATATTTTTGTGTGATGTCATAGTAAGCATTTCCCGTATAAATTAGGCCCCGCCTCCTTACTGCAGCCTTAACTGTGCTGCGTTGGGGTATGCCCCCCCCCCTTTTTTTTTTTACATTGTTTTCCTTATTAAATCTTGGGTCGAGTCACCTTTTTCCTATTTTTATATTCTAATATGCACTACCTGGTATATGTTATCAATAATGTAACTCTTTTGTCTCTATATGCTGTTTTTAAATATACCGTTTTCGGTATATTTAAAAAATGTAAAAGGGGGGGTGTCTATACCCCAAGTGCCTGTGAATGAAACACTAAATCATGTACCGTTTTCAGTTTCTAATGCTAAATTAATCGTTAATTTACTCCTTAGGGCCCATAGTTTGCTTTGCACAATCATACCATTTGTGTATTACATATAATGTATATATTGACACAAAAGAGTTATGCTTTTTAATTTATTTAGTAATTTGATATCGAGTTCGGTTACGAAAGACTTGAATATTAGAACTTCGTGTAAATCTGGAAAAAAATTGAAATGATCGAAGACCATGCTACGTATAACATAATTGCAAGAAAATAAATGATATTTTAGCAAAGTTACAATCACGTGTACTTTGCATTTAAAAAGTAGATACATTATCTACAAATCTTCTATAATAATTTTCGAATTTGGAAAAGCAGTTCACGCATTTATTTACATATCCAGTATTAACTTTGGCAACAAAATATTTGCTGTAAAATGGGCATGCTGATTTACAATTTATCAATCATTTCTTAGGAACTGTTGCACAGGGATGTTCCTCAAGTGACGCTCTCACCTGCAGTACTAACTTCGCCAATGCTTATAGAGCTGCTGCAAACAATTATGAAAACATTTGCAGGTTAATCTTTTTTTTTTCGTTTGTTGATAAACATATCTGATTAAAATCTGCTTGGATATATATTTCCATTATCATATTATCGTTTAATATCTATAAGATTGATGAGAAATCGGCTTTTCTAATTGGTTGTGAAATTTCTTTGATGCATAAATAAAATTTTCGCAAATGAGCCGGGACTGGATTTCTTTTATGGGCATCATGGTCGATGTTACATATTTCTCCTTCCAAAGTACTTTGTGATCGAAAATTAATGATTTTACGCTATTTTCCTGAATTTTAAAATTGTCCGGTACGTTCTTGAGTTATTTTCTACTAGCTTTCGTTTCTTTTTTAACTATCCTCCTTTGCTGAACAAAGAAGATCATCTGCATGACAACAATGCAAATTTACGGCAAATAGAGGAAAACATCATTATACAGATGTTAAATGTTATGCTTTGAGAAAACTGACATGAACAATAGATCTGTGAAAAAATGTTTTATACTAACAAAGCGGGGGAATGCAGTTAATTCTCTGGAAAGGCATGTATGAGAAAAGTACACCGAAGAAGGACAGAATTCCTTTGGAATGTTATATAATCGTAAAGATTGATGCATTACAGTGGCTGCAACGTTATTGTTGACAACTTACACGAACGATTACGTTACACGAACGATTCCGCACGATAAAATCTGTTACACGAACGATCCTTCACGCACACGATTCTACACGTTACACGATCTTACACGATTCCAAACGGAAACGTACGATTCTTCACACAAAATAGTTCAAATTCTTTAGGAATGGATATTTTCAAAACAAAATAAGGCTTAATACTTATTTTAGATTTCAAATATTTATTTATAATATTTCATCGACTTTGAAAAAATAAAAAAAGAAATGGATACTCCTGGAACTAAATAATGTAAGACTTAGATTTTAGATTACAAATAATTATTTACGTAATTCTCCGACTTAAGAAAACCAGGGACCTATAGTATAGTTATTATATAGGTCCCTGAGAAAACTGATTTTTTTTTTGTTCTATCAGAAGATGTACATGTAGGTGGGCCGTGAGTTTTGATAATATGCAGAAAGGGATAAGTTTGAAAAAAATGGCATGAAAATGAGTTAAATTTATAAGTTATATCCAAGTTATTGTGAATCACTAAAATCAACAATTATTTTACAAATCATTTATTTGCAGAAATTATATAAATAATAATTAAAAGTAAGCTCCAGAGATAAACACTGATAAACGAAACCCCGACAATCATGTCATGTACATGTACATTCGCCGACTAAATATTTATGTAAGCATTGAGAATTGTTTATTTATTATTTGTAAAAATATCTATTTTTGATCTGTTGATTTTAAAAATATATTGACCATTATTAGCAGTCAACATATTTAACATCAGAGAAAAAATCCTTAAACATCTCTGTACGATTTATCAAAAAAAAAAAAAAAAAAAAAAAAAATCACACTATTTGAGGAGAAACAATATTGTACGACTTACTAATATTGCTTATTTCCAAGCGATAATTAGTTCGTTCTGCTTTCAATTATGTAAATCGCGCTTCATTTATTTTATTTGGATCGGAAAAAAAACAGACAAGCGAAATGCTTGTAAAACAAAAAAACATTCCGATAAAAACTTACAAAACGAAATTTACACGTTTCTTAACGATCACGCACAATTAAAACCGCAATCGATTGAGTCTGATACACGCACGATCTCGCACGTTACACGATTGGTTTGTCAACAATAACGTTGCAGCCACTGTACCAAAGAATAAACACAAAACAGGCAGTATTTCAACAATTGATTATAAACTACGGAACGACTTTACTTTACCGGTCCCCAGACAAACGCGCTAGAATATAATGTCGCCGTAAGCGACTTCAATATATGAGATCGCGTGAGCGATGGAAAAAATAAAAAAGTATGAAGTTTTAAGACTTTTTGACCCCAAAATCGAATTCTACGTTTAAAAGTTTAGTTTCAAACTCCGTTTTTAAACGAAGTTTTGAACCTTGTTCTCTGAAAGTAATAAATATTGTTTATTCAGTGAAAAGGAGACAAAAAAAAAAATGTCAACGAAGCGCGTGCGGCGCATTCTTAGTGCCGTTTCTTTCGTACTTAGCCATTTTTTTTTTCATGTAAACAAACCAAACAAACCAACGAGATGTCGTTGAAGCTGAATTAAGATCTTACCAAGAATACAGATGCAACTGGATTTCTTAATTAATCTAAAAGAACAAGACACTAACCCTAATCTCTCGGATGGTATGCGAGAACTAACCCAAATCTCCCAGGCGGATGCTAGACTAACCCATGTGCGAGGACTAACCCTAATCTCTTGGATGCCTAATCAGTCGAAAACTTGTGCAAGAACTAACCCTAATCTTTCAGGTGGGTGCAAGACTAACCCTAACCAGTCGAAAAATGTGCAAAACTAACCCTAATCAGTTGAGTGACGTAAATTTTACGTCACTCTAGATCTCGCTGATCTGGGGACCGGTAAAGTAAAGTCTACCCTAAACTACATTTAGATATCATCATGTCCATGTATAAAGGGATAAATACATAAGGGGTTACTACACATGTATTGGGATAACTACATAGACATGTAAAAAAGGGATAAATATAAGTTTTTGTTTGTTTGTTTATTGTTTAACGTCCCTCTCAAGAATTTTTCACTCATATGGAGACGCCACCACTTGCCGTGGAGAGCTACAAATTTTGACCTATATTCGGCACTCAGGACCATTGAGCAGTGAGGGATCTTTTTCGTGCCAGCACATACTGCGACACGGGACCTTGGTTTATACGGTCTCATCCGAAGGATCGGTCTCCACGTCCCACAGTGGGATTCGAACCCGCGACGTAAGGATCGACTCCTTACTCTGCGACTCTAGAGCACTGCGCCACGCGGGCGACGATAAATATAAGTAGCACTCTAATTTGATTCTTAGCTTGTATTCTGCTTTTATACTCTGTGATATTTCATTTTTTGTAGTTATTTTGAAGATACAGAAATCATATTGAACATAACAAAACTGTCACATTAAAATATTATTTCAATGTATTGTAATGATATACTGGGGAGCCTCATTTATCCGGACACTTTGATTCCCAGTCAAAATCGTCGGGATAAGTGAAGCGGCCGGATATCTGATTTACCTCATTTGAGTAATATGGCCTTTCATACCATTTGCAATAGTTAAGAATACTGCGTTATATAAAATATTTTTCATTGTTTGAATACTTTCAAATAAATAAGCACTACGGACTTTATAACACTTGATAAAATAAAAAGTGCTCTGGATGCAATGGCTTAATTTATTATTTCTGTAAGCCAATTTCTAATGACTGAACTTCCCCTATCCAGCTGTCTGGTGGAACAGATAGAGAAAAAGCACCCAAACAACGCAAGTGAGTTAAGGCTAGGTATAGGCATTTCTATGCAAATTAACTATTTAAAATGCCTAAAGACTATATCTATTATACAGAGAAAGTTAAAACTTACTGTCTAATACACACTTGGTACCCACGACATGAGATAGCCAGTACACATTATGACGTCATATTTTGACGTCATTGTTCTTTACTACACAAGATTATGATGGACATCTACAAAATTGCTTCGGCACAAGGGCATGCTCTATTTTATTTAACTGAAACAAGGTATATTTAAAAGCAAAATATTTCAAAGATTGCTGGTATTGCTGCACAAATATCAACAGCTCAGTTGTATAATTTTTATTTGTAAAGTTTTAAGTTGAATCAGGGTAAAAATGCACAGTCCGGTATACGATTCCTCAAATTCTGATCAAATGAGTAAATACCCAGGATTTGTGCAGCAGTTTTATTAATCTACGGAATATTCTTCTTAGCATTATACATTTTTTATGTAAAATTAAATAGGGTAATCCCTTGCGCCGAAGCTGTTTTGTTGTGTATTTTATTGCCTCCAGTAGGTAAGAACAATGACGTCATAATATGACGTCATAATGATTACTGGCTATATCATATCGTGGGTACTAAATATGCATAAGAAAATAAATGAAAACTTTCTCTGAATAATAATTATACCTCTTGTGCGTTTTTATTAGCTCATTTGCATAGAAACGCCTATACCTAGCCTTAGCTCACATGCGAAACTTTGGAGTTTATTTTTAATTTGAATGCTTATCCATGCTTAATGCCACATTATCTGCACATGTATACATACTTTAATTTTCCAAAGCATTTTAAAAATCCGGAGTCATGGATATAAATAGCAATACAAGAAACGATTACTAAAAACTATTGATATATATACAAGTATTCTCTTAACCAATACATGCCAGGTTCTTGTCAGAGAAGCGAGAGTCTCGTGCGTACCTAAAATTAACCTTGGAGAGTATCATTAATAACAAGTAACATGTAATCATCTTTTAAAACAAACAGCCAGGTCAGTGCTTTTACAACAATCACCCAGCTCAAGTAATTTGAGCAGAGTTGACGACCATTTCAGAAAAACCGTCCTGATAAATGAATCAAAATATAACATAAAAATGCATTTTGAAGTGAAAAAAGATCGTCCGCATCCCGAACGCAAAATTCCGGATAAACGAGACAAAATAGCGATAAAAAAGAAAATAGTCCGGAAGCTGAAGCGTCTGGATATCTGACTTCTATAGGTCCCCTGTATATCAGAAGCCGTTTGATACAAATGTGGATACACCGGATCTTTCTAATTAAAACAAACTGTACTTTTCAATAAAGCGTAACGTTTAATATGAAGTGATCACCCTTTCAATAGCTATAAAGACTTAAATACAACTAAGCTTGCTTGAAATGAAGGAAGATTATACCATATCACTAAAAAACTAGCTCACTAGCGAGGCAGTATAAATTAACTATATCCTGTCCGCTACGATTCCCTCAGCTCAGGGAATCTTCGTCCCTCTGTGTGTGCATGGGGCCTCTTCACGTATACTTATCAGAAAAGAGACACAAATTCCTAGACCTAGAGCTTCCTGAAGCAGGTCACTAATCTCAAAAACCACTACGCTGTGATCACTTTTGTAACCTGAAGCGGTCAACCAGGGCTATATGGACTCGCCGCATATTAACTTATCCAAAATGGAAGGAAACTCCAAAGCATCACCATAAAATGCGGCCACTAGCGAGAGGCATCTTATGTTTCTTATATACTGTCTGCTACACTAGATAAGGGAAATTTTGCAGCGTGTAGGAATGAACGTGATTCGTTTCCAAAAATAGATTTAAGAAAATGAATGTGTTACATGCGTTACATGTAATTTAAACTTGCAATTCTCATAATCAATTTGAAATTTTGTCAATCTTCCGAAAAAAGTATAAGAATTCGCCTTTGTAGAAAAAAGAGTATCAAATTTCATTTCATTCAATCCTAAGATATATACTGACATCGCAGAAACATATACCTTGCCATTCGTTCTCGGTTGAAATGCTTTTCTGTGAAGTCTATATATTTATGAACTGCCCTCACAAAGGAAATATTTGTAAAATGTCATTGAGTCCAAATTGTACTATTTCTACACACTGTATTGACTCTTTTTATATAAAAAAAAATATTTAACACGGCTGCAGAGTTACAAAAAATATTTCTTTCATTACTCTTTGTTAAACAGTGCAGCTCACCAGTTTCTTGACTGTGTAAACAAAGTGTTGACTGCCTGTAGCACGGACAGCCTGTCGCGTAATAGTGTAAACCAATACATGAACCAAGCAAGGCAAGAGCTCAACCAATACGGGTGCGGTACGTACCTTTGTATATTTCAGCTTGACAAAGGAACGTGCCCCTTTGTCAGAAAAGTTGAAACTTGTGTGAAAGCTTCATGGTAAAATTAGATTCATTTTGTGAAGATAAAATGTTACTATAAATATACACTATGTGAATATTTAATTGAATGACAATTTAAAATTCCATTAGGTTTTTTTTAATGCTCCAAAGTTACATATGTTTCAAAGGTTACCTTTGTTCCAAAGTTACATTAAATTTTCTTTCATTGCAGGTGCTGCAGGCCTCTTTTTCAATCTGTTGGTCATGGTATTAGGAGTCGCATTTTCATACACTTTCAAAAAGTTTAATGATTGAAAGGATCTTAAACCACGTTTACACACAATTTTGCATGCATAATCTAGACTTCATCAAAAGAATTTTATGTACTAGTATGACTGTGTAATCCTTATTTGTAGAAAGAATTAACTTACTTAAATGCTTGTGCAAAGTTCATGTAAAAATAGTTTTAAAAAAAGTTATTTTGTTTTTAATTGAAAAAAAATTATAAAATCTGCTTTGTTAGATTATAATTATACAAAGAATGTGTATAATACATGTAAGTTTTGTCATTGATGCTGTAATTTTTATAGTATATTTTCGCGACCATAACATTAGGCTTATTAAACTAACAAATATTTGGCTTCATTAACACAAATTCGGTGACAATATCAGTATAAAACTGTATTTAAGATAGAGTTTCATCTAGTTATTTGAACGGTGTCATGCATGCATGTGTGGTCGGTCATTCGAGGGGTAGATGATAAATATTTCGGAAATATCTCTCTACCATGTTAGTAGTGTAATTCATTATAGATCAGCATAGACACTAAAATGAATATTTCTCTTCGGATAATCATTTCTTTTAGTATGATTATTTTCTTAACCCTTAACACAAAATATGCAAAAAACAGACAATTGCAATTATAGCAAGAGGCCCATGGGCCACCTGAACACATTGGCTGGGAAAAGCAGAAATCAGTTCAGTATTGAAAAGTTTACTCAAATTTACACAACATCAGGATGCTACCATACTAATATTACTAACCATGACATTCCCTTAAGTATTCCTATGTAAAACTCTGATCGCTCACTGTAGTCCTACACTACCAAAAATGACGAGATGAAGAAAAAAAACTAAATCCAAATACATATAGTTAGGGGAAAGAAGTTATGAGCTACTAAGGCTTTTGTTGTCTGACATTGATAAATACATATACACGAGTAATAATGTGATAATAAAATTTGAATCAACATCCATCACATTTAGTTTTGAAAGGGGGGAAGGGTAGTCCGATGAAAAATGTGAATTTAGCTTTTTGAAAGACACTGAAATTTTGAAATAGGTTCTGCACAAATTTTACATAAAACACAAAAAGTAATGCATGTAATTACATTTACTCTTAAAAAATATATTAATTGTAATGGTATTTTAATGCCCAAAAGTAATGAAAATACCTGTAGTAATGGTAACACAATACTTTATAATGTAATTCACCCAATGCCTTATTAGTAACGAACTTTAGTCCCAGATAAATAATTTTAAGGCTAACTGCATTCTGTATTTCTTTAAACTCAGACACTCTCACCGAAAACACTCAAAGCGCAGAATTGTCAACAAACGTATGTAAAAATAAATGCTCGTAAATTGTAATATCTATATATAATCATAATGAGTATTCATTTTCAATTTCATGAATAATTTATATGAAAGGTGAAGATAACGAACAGTTGTCAACCTCATAAATCCACAACGCTGGAAGGTAAGGACACACACATACTTACACACATACTTACATCAGCCTATACAGAGGTTCAAGAAAACAATTATGACGTCAGGTTAAATCTCGATGAATAATATTAAGAAATAAAGTCCGCGTTATCGGGAATGTTGCAGGATAACCTTCGAGGTTGAGAAATGTTGCCTGAGATATAAAAGCCGAGGCCTTAGCCGAGGCTTTTATATTTCAGACAAGATTTCGAGACCGAGGAGGTTATCCTGCATCATTCACGACAACAAGGACTTTATTTCTATTCTACTAACAGCTCTAAAATACGGCTGATCGTTTCCTTTATAGAGAAATGAATTAGGTCACCATGTCGCAATTTCGCTGTTCCATTTAACACCAGAGTCAATTTGTTTACTTGTGTATCGATTGCATAAAATGCAGACGATTTCAGCTTTCGTTGAATTAAAAATATCCTTTAACTATTTATAAATTTGTTTGTAACATATATTGATTAATTTTTATGAATGTAAAATAACAAAAGCAGTTGTCTATTTCATTGCTTTATCTGTAAAATCACGGAGCATAAATGTTGTGGGGAGGTCCGTTGAACAGCCCAATTTGGCTATAAAAAGTATATTTATCAGCTGTTTCAGGCAATACACACTATTTAGACTGCGTAAGACGACATATCGATATGGTCTAAATAAGCATTAGATTCTACAGTGAAATATTTATTTCAACTGTACAGGTTTGACATGCGTTTCTGATCTGATAATTTTTGATGACGTTCGTGATTTATTGGAGAATAATGTCCGCGGCATTTCTTTGATCTCGGCAATAGCTGTGGTAGAATTAATATTAATGTTGTTTTTCATACACACTAAAATACTTTGTTCCTCATAAAATCGATGTGCAAGTTATCTATCCGCATGTACATGTAGCATGAAAGTCGACTTGATGTTGCTGCACGGACTGAATTGACGCGCATTTTCTCTGTGTTTGAGGCGTAAATCAAGTTAATATTATACATTTATTGCATGATCATGAGGGAAATATGAAGATTTATTAAGCCAAGAAAAATCATATTAATATGGTATTTCTTGGCTGAATAAATCTTCATGTTTCCCTCACGATCATGCAATGAATTGTTAATTATACTGAAACAATCAAAAACTTTAAAAATAACCATAAACTTTCAAATTCGGCACCCTCTTAAATTTTAACGTAGTGTTACTGAAACAATCTACAGATGTTCATCAGCAATTTTGTGACGTGAACCAGGCCATGTGACGTCTTAACTACTCTCGGGAGTTTTCGTTCAACGAACGATAACTATTGCGGGAAAATGCACCAGGTCTCCGAAGAGGTTGAATATGATGAAAAGCATGAAAACGACAGGGAAATATGAAGTTTTATAGCCCTGTCTCGTGATAATCTAGAACCAATCAGATAACGCGTTGTATAGAATAATTATAATGAGGTATAATAATATCGTATCTTATAAATTAGAAAATGAAAATGTATCAAGCGTGATCTGTCCAAAATGGAGCCATATTCTATTTAATCAATATTTTATAGTCCGATTAAATTGAAAATGTTTAGACCTTTTATAAAGCCGTAACGTATTAGAATGACAGACACAGCCCCTCGAAAATTAAAAAAAAAACCAAAAAAACCAAAACAAAACAAAAACATATCCGCTTTGAGTTTTAAACACGTGGAGCTATTAATTTTATCCCTACTATTTTGAAAAGTGCTGGGAGTGGTTGTGTGTGCTGTTGCTTTATCCCCTAATTAACATTATTTCAATGCGTATTACGTTAAAGTGGACATTTTCGATTGAGTGAACTTCTACGGCTATTAGCGACTATGGATAAAGGAAGAGTGAAAACCTTGAAGTGCAAAATAAAATAACTAAATTAATGATATTGTTATAATCTAATCAACCAGATCTGTCACTGGATGCACTTACATACAGCATTTTTTATGGTTCACAACAAAAAGTATTCCATTTGAGCTTTGTGCCAAGTATCAAACGCTAAAACCGTATGACAATGTTCATATTAGTAACTGATATGATTGAGGCGCAGTATTTCTGAATAATCCGTAGTTGCTATTTTATGAATATTCACCAAACCGAAAATGTCCACAGACTGTACGGAAATCTATGGAAAGACGGCTAAATGAACATTTTCGGAATCTCAGACACCTGAAATCGTACTACGGACAGCGGACTTGCAAAAAAAAAACTAACTTTCGGGGGCGTATTTTCAAACTTACATAGCATGTTTACTGTACTGAGAATTTTTTCTCGTTATCTCTTACATCTGCTATAAATGGGTGAAGATAACAATAAAAGACTTCAAAATGATCAATATTGATAAAAAATTTGAAAAATCGATTTTGGGGCATTTTATTTGAACAAATCACTACATGAATTGACAATAATTAATATGTATCTATATTTGATATTTCAGTTGTGGATCCAAAAGCGGGGAGTTGGGGTGGGGGTACGGGGGTTGCAACCCAACCCCATTTGATTTTGGTAATAATAAATAAATATATAATTAGTTATGCATTATTAAAAAGTTAGAAGAGGTGAAAGAAAGAGAGAGTTGTGTATACATTTACATATAAAAGGTATTTTAACAGTTATCCGAACTTGTTCAGTATTATAATGTCGTTCAAAAATTTTGATTTCTCTCGATAAATATGGAAAAGATTATTTTTTTCAACACTTTATAGATAAAGGCTCGGTTAAAATGATATAGAAATCACCAATTTCTATTTCCTCATGATAAATCTGATATATCAACAACAACAAAAAATGACAAAAAGTTTTCATATAGGGTATGTTATATCTTTGGCTTCCTCAACAACGCATTAAAATTTGCAAAATGCGATTTAAAAATACAAAATATTAATGTACTCATATATTGCTTACGCTGATTCTGCTGGAAGATTTTAATTAGTTCAAAATGAAAAAGATTATTAAAGATCCCCTCTTTATCTTTCAAAGATGATATAAAATATTTGAGACATATAATACATGTACGTGCGAAAGACTGATAATTAAGCCATTTCTTTGTTGAACATGAACTCGTTTACATACATATAAACTTAATAGTGTTCATGTAAATCCCTCAATTTTTATTATGGCCATGATCTGAATACAAATTCTTTATTACAATACACCGATACAATCTTAAAATTTAATAAATGCGTTTTGAATTAAAAAAAAAAGCCTGTATGTCATTTAACTTTCCAGAATCAAAAAGCTTCCTGGACCCCCACCCTGTATCCACTAGAAGCCTCAGATCTGCCTATACGGTAATTTGGATCACACTGTGTGTTTTAGAGGGAACTTGATTTTGAATTTGAGATGTAAAATTGTGTGTCAGTTCAAAGCCTTATGCTTAAGTCTGTTAATGTAATTTTCTTCTCCGCGCCTGATATTTCAATTATGAAAATAGTTGTAGGTGGTATGTTGTACAATGTTTAAGTACTGGTAATGTTGTTGCATATTCTCAGTTTCCCGACAAGGTATTTTTATCTTTAAACAAAGGTTGTATGTCTGCAAACAATTTATGAAACAATATCACACAATTTTTCTGGAGTGACGCCATAAACAGCGCGCGGACAATTTTTTTTTTTACTTACAGATCGTACTCTCAGGAACATACATGTATGTACATAAAGATACAATTTTATAAA